ACACACACACACACACACACACACACACACACACACACATACATACGTACACTTTTAATTTGATTATTATTTCTAATGCTTTTAATTCGATTATTTTCATTAGCAATTTCAGTAGCATTTCAAAAAATTTTTCCAATACTTTACTATAAAATATTACAAAAAAAGAAAAAAACAAAAAATTACCTCTTTCGTTTGCAAATTCCACAAAACAACAGTGCCTTTTTCATATAACAGAAGTAATTTACATTGCTCAGTGGGGCATGTCAATATTGATTTGACACTACCAGGATGAGAACGAACACTCCTGAAACCGCAGCAGAACCCATTTTACCTTCTTATATACTTTATAATTTGTTACTTCGTCAAAAATAGGGGCATTTTAGGTAAATGCATCAAAAATCCAAAGCTATCGGTCAACCAGTGTCATAGGCGGATCCAGTACGGTTTCCTAGGCGGGTCCAAGACGATCCAGGTCGGTGAATATTCATATTATTATTTGGGTTTCCCTGACAGTGTCATAGGTGGATCCAGGACTATCCAGGGCGGTGAATATTCATACTGATTATTATATGGGTTTTCCTGAACTAACATTTACCCTTATTAGCACTGGGACTGCTATTTGAACTATCCCATCGTTGTCATTAGCACTTGTGACGTTGCTGAGTGCTGCAATAGTGGGCGGAGAGTGAGGGGGGCTTTCTTTGCCTGCGATTGCTCAAACACGGTCCTGAGTAACGCTCAGAAAGTTTCAGCACTTCGGCTGCTCTGGTTGCAGAGTTGCGTCGAATTTCACGGGTTTGGGCGATTCCCCCCTCTCTCCCCTTCCTTCCCCGTCGTCGGTATGTCAGACGTTCCACTACCCCTCCCTCCGCCCTCGCTGGTCGGCAGTAAACAGCGGCGACGACCGGGGAGAGGAGGGGTGGGGGGAGGGAGGTAGAAGGTGGAACTTCTGGGAGACGAAAGGGGGTATCGAAGAGAGTTTTCTACAGTAAAATAACTGCTACCTGTTTCCCTGGGAGAGGGGGAGGAGGCGAAACATCCATCGCCCCCCCCCCCCCCCCCCCCCCCCCCCCCCCCC